CTTTTTCAGAACAAATTTCCCGTAAAAGCTCTCAATTTGTGAGAAAAATTTTCTGTTTCAGAACAATATTTGTACTGTTTCAGAACAATATTTGTACTGTTTCAGAACAATATTTGTACTGTTTCAGAACAATATTTGTACTGTTTCAGAACAATATTTGTACTGTTTCAGAACAATATTTGTACTGTTTCAGAACAATATTTGTACTGTTTCAGAACAATATTTGTACTGCTTCAGAACAAATTTCCCGTAAAAGCTCTCAATTTGAGAGAAAAATTTTCTGTTTCAGAACAATATTTGTACTGTTTCAGAACAATATTTGTACTGTTTCAGAACAATATTTGTACTGTTTCAGAACAATATTTGTACTGTTTCAGAACAATATTTGTACTGTTTCAGAACAATATTTGTACTGTTTCAGAACAATATTTGTACTTTTTCAGAACTAGTCTTGTACTTTTTCAGAACTAGTCTTGTACTTTTTCAGAACTAGTCTTGTACTTTTTCAGAACAAATTTCCCGTAAAAGCTCTCAATTTGTGAGAAAAATTTTCTGTTTCAGAACAATATTTGTACTGTTTCAGAACAATATTTGTACTGCTTCAGAACAAATTTCCCGTAAAAGCTCTCAATTTGAGAGAAAAATTTTCTGTTTCAGAACAATATTTGTACTGTTTCAGAACAATATTTGTACTGTTTCAGAACAATATTTGTACTGTTTCAGAACAATATTTGTACTGTTTCAGAACAATATTTGTACTGTTTCAGAACAATATTTGTACTGTTTCAGAACAATATTTGTACTTTTTCAGAACAATATTTGTACTGTTTCAGAACAATATTTGTACTGTTTCAGAACAATATTTGTACTGCTTCAGAACAAATTTCCCGTAAAAGCTCTCAATTTGAGAGAAAAATTTTCTGTTTCAGAACAATATTTGTACTGTTTCAGAACAATATTTGTACTGTTTCAGAACAATATTTGTACTGTTTCAGAACAATATTTGTACTGTTTCAGAACAATATTTGTACTGTTTCAGAACAATATTTGTACTGTTTTCAGAACAATATTTGTACTTTTTCAGAACTAGTCTTGTACTTTTTCAGAACTAGTCTTGTACTTTTTCAGAACTAGTCTTGTACTTTTTCAGAACAAATTTCCCGTAAAAGCTCTCAATTTGAGAGAAAAATTTTCTGTTTCAGAACAATATTTGTACTGTTTCAGAACAATATTTGTACTGTTTCAGAACAATATTTGTACTGTTTCAGAACAATATTTGTACTGTTTCAGAACAATATTTGTACTGTTTCAGAACAATATTTGTACTGTTTCAGAACAATATTTGTACTTTTTCAGAACTAGTCTTGTACTTTTTCAGAACTAGTCTTGTACTTTTTCAGAACAAATTTCCCGTAAAAGCTCTCAATTTGTGAGAAAAATTTTCTGTTTCAGAACAATATTTGTACTGTTTCAGAACAATATTTGTACTGTTTCAGAACAATATTTGTACTGTTTCAGAACAATATTTGTACTGTTTCAGAACAATATTTGTACTGTTTCAGAACAATATTTGTACTGTTTCAGAACAATATTTGTACTGTTTCAGAACAATATTTGTACTGTTTCAGAACAATATTTGTACTGCTTCAGAACAAATTTCCCGTAAAAGCTCTCAATTTGAGAGAAAAATTTTCTGTTTCAGAACAATATTTGTACTGTTTCAGAACAATATTTGTACTGTTTCAGAACTAGTCTTGTTCTGTTTCAGAACTAGTCTTGTACTTTTTCAGAACTAGTCTTGTACTTTTTCAGAACTAGTCTTGTACTTTTTCAGAACTAGTCTTGTACTTTTTCAGAACAAATTTCCCGTAAAAGCTCTCAATTTGAGAGAAAAATTTTCTGTTTCAGAACAATATTTGTACTGTTTCAGAACAATATTTGTACTGTTTCAGAACAATATTTGTACTGTTTCAGAACAATATTTGTACTGTTTCAGAACAAGACTTGTACTGTTTCAGAACAATGTCCGACGTACCACCAAAAAATATATTTTAGGGTAGAAGGGTATATCTACCCCGTTTTCTACCCTCTTTTCTACCCTCGTAGAAAACACACAAAACTCGTTCATTTTGTATAAAAAAAGCAACCCGCGGAAAACAGCGGGTTGGTATATTCTTCACAAAATGCTTGTTTTTGAGGTCGAGCCATTTTTGGCTCCACCGTATTTTTAAACCAAACTCGTTCATTTTGTGCTGAAATAAAATAAAGGTAGTCCCACCAAAAAATATTTTTTATTTTTATTGTAAGAACATGTTTGCAACAACAGCACCAAACTCGTTAGTCATGAACCCAACTTCAATGTTAGTAGAGATGAAAAGCTTCATTCCTTCTTCATATACTTTCGAAACAGAAATCCAGAAGATAAAGCAAGAACTTCTCCAAGGAGATTTAGACTGTAGTGCAAAAGATGAAACAAATGAACAGTATCTTTATGAAATGCAAGATATTATAGACCATTTGCCTAAACTTCCTGAAATACAACAACAAAAACTCACTATTCCAGAATTCGATGAAATTGAAGTCAGACTGACTGACTCAGTAGAAATAAAGAAGTTCATACGAAAGGTAAACTATGAGTTTCTTGGATTTCATTGCAACCACAAAGTCATTGACATATATAAATCTGAAGAATTTAAGACCTACGACAACTTTGTTTCGTTAGTTGCTGAGTGTGTCTTGCAGATAAGAGATAAAGATAGAAGAGGTAAGGTATGGAACCAACAGATAAAACCAGCAACCTTTGAGTTAAAGAAAACCATCTACGCCTTAGTCATACTAGCAGGACAAATTTCAGAATATAACGCAAAAATGAACTCACAATGTTCTAAATGTAAAGCAGCAATGAGGAAATATAACTACTCCGTCAAAGAGATAGAAAGAATGAGAAAAGACCATACTGACTTAAAGAAAGAAGTAGAGAAACCAGCAGAAGATAAAATGGACATGTTGACATTTCTGAACAAAAACTATCCAACTGCTAACGATTTCCTTCTTTCAGATGTCAAGAAAAAATATAAAGAAACCTTCGGCATAGTTAAAATTTTTGATATCCTTCGTGAAGAAATAGAAGCTACAAAAACTGTTTAAAAGTCATGAACCATCACAACATATACCATGTAAAACGCTTGTAAAACTTTATGGTAGAAATGAGGGTAGAAAACGGGGTAGATATACCCTTCTACCCTAAAATATATTTTTGCTGAATTCAGCACAAAATTCTGAGTAAAATGACATATGGAACACATACTTTTTCAGTAAGGACATATGGGGTAGAAATGAGGGTAGAAAACGGGTAGATATACCCTTCTACCCTAAAATATTTTTTGTCTGATTTACGCTCATTACGAAGAAGTCTTGACAAAACATTTACGAAGAAGTATATTTCCTGTGTTGTTGTCAAAATGTCATGTTGTCACACTTTTTCAGAGAAGTTCATTTAACCGAGTGACCTGGTCGCCTAAAATATATTTTATTGAATTCTGAGTAAAATGACCAAATTTCATGAATTTCCTTAAGATAGAAAAAAATAAAATAAAGTTAGTTTTTTTTTAAAATATTTTTTTTATTTTGTATGTAAGAACAGGAAATGACAAACACTGAGTTTGAAACAGTTAAAAAGATAGACAATAACACTAAATTGGTTAGAATTGGTGATTTAAACGTAAGATACTCAAAGAAATACAACAAATATTCTTTGTCAGACATTTTATCTCCATTTGAAAAGAGAGCAAAGGACTGGGTTAGAAATGCTTCAACTCAGAAAATTTTGACAAGAAATCCTGAGCTTATGATATCGGTAAAATTCTATGGAACTGCAGCATATCTTATAGACAAAAGTCTTATACCAATAGTTTTGTTATGGTTAGACCCAGTTGTTGGATATAACTTCATAACATATGGTTCATTCGATACGGAACGTTGCAGTGAAGGCTTACTTTACATCGTTCAGAAACCGAAGGACTTCAATACAAAAAGATATAAGATAGGAAGAACATATAATATAACTCAAAGATATGACAGTACAGTCAATAGAGTCAAGGTTGTGTTTGTTAATGATATGAGAGCTGCAGAAACAGAATACTTGAAAAGTTTGAGAAAATGTATGGTGCTCCCATAAAAGGTAAAGAAACGTTTGAAGTAGATGAGATAGATAAAGCTATAAATTATTTGACGAAGTTGCTGAAAAATACATGTAAAAATAACGTTTACCATGTAAAACGTTTATAAATATAACTGGGGTAGAAAAGAGGGTAGAAAAGAGGGTAGATATACCCATCTACCCTAAATTATATTTTTATTGAATTCAGCAACAAAAATCTGAGTAAAATGGCATAAGATTGCTTACCATGTAAAACCGAGAGAAGAGATTCCGTACGAAAACAGTGAAGCACAGCGAGTAGGGAAGAAACCCCAGTCGCCAAAACTCTATGAAAACAGTGAAATTTCTCTAGACCGACTTTTTCCCTACTCGCCAAAACTCTATGAAAATCATGAATTTCCTTAAGATAGAAAAAATAAAGTTAATTTTATTTTTTTTATTTTTTTATTTTGTATGTAAAGACAGATATGTCAACAACAGAGAACACAACAACAGTTATAAGTCCATGAAGATATAAATGAAGAATATGAGTACATACAGTTTAACAAACAGTTTACGTCTCATTCGTTCGGTCAAAGATGACATGTACCAAATGCAAAGTATTTTGAATGCTCTTCGTTCTACAAAGCAAGCATATCATTGGTTTGAAAACCAACAGACAAAAGAACTTTTAGAAGAATTTCCTCATATGTTTGCTACCCTCGGAAAACCGAGGGTAGAGATTCCGTACGAAAATCGCAAGAATTTGGCTCCTGGTTTGAGAGGCTGGTATGTACATAGACTTCTTGTAAATGCTGTAGCAATGTGGGCTTCACCTCGTTACGCTTGTTATATTTTCATGATGTTAGATGAAATTCATAGACAAGAACGTGAAGAGATGGAAAAGAAACTTCAAGCAAAAGATGAAGTCATTGAAGCAAAAGACAAAAGCATTCAGAAAAGAATACCACGTTCGGTACCAAAAGGAAAGGAAAAGAACTATAAGTATATGATTTATACTGAAGAGATGGAAAATGAAGAAGACAGAGATATGGTTATGTTGCATTTAGTCAGAAGAAACAACAAAAGCTTTTACGACTTAGCTAAGATTTACAAATCTGACAGAAATTGGTTCTATCGCGAAAACTTACCGATTTCAATGACCCCAAATGAAGATGTGAAACAAATAGTTCAAGATACTTTACCTCAAACACACTATGATATGAAAGGTTGTACAATACTTACCTTCAAAGAAGACTTACCGCTACTGAAGGAAAAAATAACAGAGTATTTTGACAACTTCAAACAAGTAGGGTAGATGAACCATTTATTTTTCAAGCTTGACTTTTTACAATTTGAACTTTGTTCGCGTAGATGTGAATTCTGAAAGAAGTATGAGGGTCTTGTATGACTTTGTACTTCTCCCATAGTTCATGTCTGTCAAACTTACCTGCCATGGACTCTTTCATAAGTTCCATGAAATCGTCTTCGGACAATCCAGGGAAAAGTATAATGTCAGTAAGTATTCTTTTAACATCCTTACTTAAACTCTTTGCTGTCTGTACACATATTACACTGAGATGTTAAAGTGCCTAAGTTCTTAAGAATTCGACACATGTCTTGTTCTCTATTCTTTAACAAAGGATGAGAGGCGAAATCATCTAAGATAAGAAGACATCTATGAGGGTAAGTCTTCCAATCGTAAGATTGCAATTTCTTCGAAATGTATTCTATCTCTTTCTGTTTGTTTCTGAAGTGTTTCTTCTCTAATATTCTCTGCATTTCCTCATTTGGGTCTTTAAACTTCGAGTTTATATACTCATTTATAGCATTATACTTCAAAACTCTTCTTTGGTACTTCTTTATCCAATCTAACAACTCAGAGTCTTTTATACATACTAATTTTGACTTCTTTATAATATCTTTGAACGAATTGACGGTTTGGTCGAATTGACCAGAAGTACTACAAATAACAACTAACTCATAGAATGGGTTCTTCTCATCTAGTTCTTGTTGTTGTGCAGCCATTTTAAGATAAGTGAAAGTCTTACCCGACCCAGGTGGTGCGATTAGACCTGTTATACCATTCTGAGCAAATAAGAACTTTTCATGTATAGGCTTTATCTGAGCATTTTCTAACTTCCTCTTGTTCTTGTTTAAAACATTCTCAAATTTCTTGTCAATGTCAGCAAACTTTTTTTCTAACATATTTTTAGAAAAATTAAAATTTTTATCTTTTTGAAAATGTCTAGCGATTTCGCTATCTATATTCGAGACAAGCTTTTTGACTCTAAAACTTCTGTCGACCATAAAATCTTACATAGTGTAAACAAGAAAGGTGAATTTGTTCTAAAGTTCTGTTTCTGGGAATATGACAAGAACCATAAAACATTAGGCAGAGAAGTCTTTAAGTTTGTCAATGACAGACTTGTTGACAGAGATGACGCCTCTTGGAAAGATGAAGTCCAACAAAAGTTCTTAGAATGCAAAGAAGACACATGCGCTGTTCTTGAAGATGAAATAGAAAACAGAATAGAAGAGCTATTAAAGGACAAAGAACTTTTACATAAATATGGTTGCGCCAAATTTGACATAACTCCACCAGAGAAGAAGAAGAAGAGAGAAAAGAAAGAAAAGAAAGTAGAAGAAAAGAAAGTAGAAGAAGAGAAGAAAGAACCTGAACCAGTTCCAGAGAAGGTGAGATATGACATGTAAAAATAAAATTTTATTTTTAGAACATTTCTGGGTCAATGTCAATGTTCTCTTCCTCTTTAGGGGCAAACACTGGCTTAGACTCTAAAATCTTTTTACCCAACTTACCCTGAACTTCAACTATCTTAGACTCATAATATTCATAGTCGTCTGCTTTCTTTGGTTCATAAGGTATAACAAGTTTGTATGCTTTGCCTTCTTTAAGGTTTGAGAACCTTCTGTCAAAATTTTCTTTGACTGTTAACAAACCTTCTATGTCTAAGTCTTCAAATTTCGCACCATTTTTAGTCACAATAGCAAACTTAACTGGTTCGATGTTCCAAACTTTGTCAAATGTAGACTTTTCAAAATGGTAGAAGTAAACATTCAAATATATGAATGGGTCTAGTTCTTCTTTGACTTCTGACATGTACTTATTTACTGAGATGAATTTCGTCATCTTTTCTATCGGATAAAAAAATATTTTTTTAAAATTTACTCATAAAAATTTTTCTTTGTATATACGCCGTTCTGAACATCTAAAAGATTTTTGACATTTGCCAAGAATGTTCGTTTAGACGCTGTCATATAACCATACTCTTGACAATATTGTTTATATTCATCGTACAACGACCTTTCATCTAAACACTCAAAGTTAGTCTCATCTATAAACAGTTCATATACACTCTTGTTTGCTTCTAACAATGTTTGTCTCTCTTCGGTATATGGAATTTGTCTTGGATTGAACTTTGAAATATCTAATGTCATAAAATATGAGAACAAGTGGTTGTAAAAGTCAGATGTCAAAGTTTCTGACAAAGCGTCAAAATATTCTGTATCTTGCATATGAGAATCTGACGTTCTGACAACTACATATCTTCTGTCAGAACTTTCTAACTTCATCGGAACAGCATTGTTTGAAACCATAATGAAGTTTGCAACATTTTCACAAACTCTTTGGTCTTTATACTTTCTTTCAACAACTCCAACTTTGTCTGTTATAAGACTCTTCAAAGCATCTGAGTTCAAAACTTTTGTTGTATCTATACTTTGAAGTTCATTGCAAACTATAAGTTTCATATTCTCTATTGAAGAGTTAAATTTACCGCAGATGTTTTCTAAGTTTGTCATATTAGGGTTCGAATAACCTTCTAACAGTTTGCATAAGATATCTGTAAAGAATGTGTTCTTACCAGTTCCTTGTTTTCCAATTATAATGAGAGCAGTTTCATTCTTAGCACTTGGATATTGTAAGATGTTTGCAAACCAACATAAGATATACTCATAGACTCTTTCGTTTCCATTGCATATAATTTCTTTGACATGGTCTAACCAAGCTTCTATAATATTTTCTTTCCATTCTACTTGTTCATATTTATATCCAGTGAAGATAGAATAGAAGTTTGGAGAAGGTGTATAGAACTTTATACCACGAACTGAAAAATCTTCTAACTTTGACAATAAGATATCCCAAGCATCTAACATCTTCATTCCAACTTGTACAACTTTTATTTTCTTAAGTTTCTGTCTACATTCTTGTTCTGAAACTATTGTCGCTCTTGGTTTGTTAAAGACAACATCCCATTCTTTCATGACATAACATTCTGGGGCAGAGTCAACATAAATGACTAAACGTTTCAAATTCTCGACTGCTTTGTTATAGTCTCTAAATGGACACATATTTCTGAATGCTTGGAAGTCATAAAAATCTGAAACATCTATTCTGTACATTTTTATAAAAATAAAAAAAAAATATTTTTTTTATTCTTGACTTTGTTGTTCCATTTGTTGCATTTGTTGTTCTTGAGCTATTTGTTGTTGAAGTTGTTCTTGTAGTACAATACTTTCACCAGTTGCATCTTCCAATTCGAAACTTTCTGCCGTCATTGACAAATACATAGGACATAAAAGTTTTACAGGAACAAAGTTTGCGTCAACTAAGGTTAAGTTTATGTTTGCTAAAGTGTTTGAGTTTACTAAAGCTGAAAACTCTGCATTCGAATGAACAATAGGCAAACCAGCAGAGAAAGTGTTGTTTATACGCATGAGTATCTTTTGGTCATAGTAGTTTCTGTCGATATTCGAATAACACTTTGAACCTAAGTTTGAAACAATATATAAAATAGGTGTACTTAAAGTCAATGGAACGGATAGACCTTGTATGACACCTTTTCCTGTTATAGGAAACTGTTGGTAGTAAAAACCAGATATAAGTTTTGTATTATAGCTCATATCGTTTATACTAAACTCAGTCGGACATCCAAACATAATGAAACCTGCTCTAGTTGCAGCACATGTTACATCCGTCCTTAAAGTATTAAATAAGTCAACAAAACCTGTTGGTGGTATATCTGAGTAAGTATCTTCAAAGGAGTATTTTTTACCATTCACAACAATAAAGTCTTCTGGTGTCAAAAGAGCAAAACAGGCTTTAGTCGTCATTGTGTTTAAGGTTAGTTTACAATATCGTCCTTGAGGACTTTGTAAGTTTGTTGTTATAGAATTATATGACTCAGGGTTTTTAGTCGTAATAGTATAAACCATATGTCTTCTGCCATTTACTTAGCAAATAAATTTTAATGAAATGTTGTGGTCGTCAAATATTTTTATACGTCTGGGAAACTATATTTTAAGTTCAACGTTTCACCTCCTTTCATAACGTATATCTTGTCAATGACATTATATGAAACACCACAGCAAGCAATGTCGGGTTCTATTTCTTTGATGTTTATATCGTCTGCCTCTGTCAAAAGTTTCAATAGTTCTTTCAAAACTTCATGAGGTGCGATGACATATGAGTTCACTTTTACAGGGTTGTCTCACCAAGTTTAACATTATACCCAAAGCTTGACAAATCTTCTCCTGAGTTTTAAGTTTGTCTTTAGTTGTTGGTAGTCGTTTCGAATATCTGCAACAGAACTTAACTCTCTGCTAACTTCAGGGTATGTTGGTTGTTCTTTTACAGGAACTATTGTTATACCATCTTCGTCCTCGTATGGTTTCCCCACTTCAACATCTCTTTCTTTGACATTGACAACAACACTTTGACTGTTTGTTTGAGTTGGTGAATTTAACTTCACATCTGCCACCGCCATTAAACCTTTTGAAACACTTACGCTTCTATTTTTCGGAAATGACATTTTACTTAGAATAAAAAGATGGACGTATTCGAGTATCTCTTCGAATTGAAGCAAAACAAGGTTTACACACACAAACAATACAAATACATTGACAGAATAGTTCTTTATACAAACAATGGAAATGTTATAGAATAGCAGTCTTTGCTGAACCAAAATATTTTCATAAAGCAAAGAAAGTTGGTATAACTGAAATGGTGAAAGTTTTGAAGCAGACAAAAAATATAACAACAAAACTTACAGATATTTCTAAAGGTAAGTTTATAATACAATTTTATGTCAAAACTGGCGTACTGTCAATATTTGACGGAGAGAAGTCAGTTCAAGAACAACTTACTGACCTGCTGCCAAAATCTGCTCGATGGAAGCTGTCGTTATGCCAATCTGAGGAGCCCCAGCAGGTTTCATCGAACGAATTTTCAAAAGAGCATCTTCCGTGAAAAGTGCTATTGGTTTTGTAAACTTCTTTGCTTCAGTTCATCTGGACCGT